TTTAGCAAATTGGTGTGTTGCCTAATTTACTGCTAACACTGTTTTTTGTTGTTGCTGTTGTTTTGTTTGTTTGTTTGTAAAGGGAAATCAGATTCTCAGCAGCCTTTCCATTGAAGAATACAAGGCAACACTGAAAATGATAAAACAAGCCATCCTTGCAACAGACCTAGCACTATACATAAAGTGAGTCAGAGACAAGTTTGACTGGTATTCCTAGCTTGATGTTTGGATTGCGAGCACATTGTAAAATCTTTTCACTTGTTTTAAAGGAGGAGAGGAGAATTTTTTGAACTTCTAAGGAAAAAGCAGTTTAATTGGGAAGATCCTATGCAGAAGGAGCTATTTTTGTAAGTAAATGCAGAATGATTAAAAAGTTGATTAATATTAGATGTCCAATTTCCCATGCCACGTTGTCAGGAATTGCATTAAAACCAACCAATCTGCATGCCTGGGGCCTGTACAAACTGGTACAGGTGATATAAGTCACTTCTAGGGATTGAATTACTAAATTTGCAGCCTTTACAACAAACTGTGTTAAATAGTATGTGTAGTTACAAAAGCGTTTCTATTCCATAGAACTCCTAAATACAATGCTATTTTGCTGTTATAGTTAAATATTTAATTGCTGAAACCACTAAGTAAAGATTCAGGACAGATGTTTTGTTTAGAAGCAGATTTCTTACTGGCAGTGGAGAAAAAAGACAAAAAACAAAAACCAAAGAATATTTAAGAACTGAAAAAACTTTATAAAAAGCTACAGAAAAACATTCATCTAGACTGTCTAAGAAAGGACAGTTGCCCTACTTTAAATTCAGTGTTTTTAAAAACCTGTCTCATTTAGTCATACTGCATTTAATCACCTTTTCCAATTTCAGTTACTGACCTTTGTATTGTCAATGAAAATGGCAGTCCTTGTTAATGACAGAAAGGAATGACAGAATCATAGAACTGTAGAATATTCCAAGCTGGAAGGGACCCACGAGGATCACCAAGTCAAACTCCTGGGTCCATGCAGGTCCACCCAAAAATCATAACCTATGTCTGAGAGTGAGGTACAAATGCTTCTTGAACTCTGAGAGACTGGGGCCATGCCCACCACCCTGGGGAGCCTGTTCCATGCTCACTGCCCTCTGGTGAAGAACCTTTTACTAACACTCAACCTGACCCTCCCCTGAGAGACCTCCATGCTGTTCCCTCTGGTCCTGTCACTGTCAACAAAGAGGAGAGATCAGTGCCTACCTCTCTGCTGCCCTCATAAGAAATTGCAGGCTGCCATGAGGCCACCCCTCAGTCTCCACTGAACAAAAACTGTGACCTCAGGTGTTGTTCACACCTTCCCCTCCAGACCCTTCCCTATCTTCATGGCCCTCCTTTGTATGTTCTCTAATAGTTTCAGGTCCTTCTTACATTGTGGCACTCAAATCTGCACACAGTGCTTCCTGGTGAGGCTGCACAGAGTAGAGTGGGACAATCCCTTCCCTCACCCAGCTGGCAGTGCTGTGCCTGATGTACCCCACGGTACTGTTGGCCATTTTGACTGCCAGAAAGAAATGTGCTATCTGTCCAGTAGCAAATAGAATTAAGTGATTCATTTTATGTGAATCCAACAAAGGAGCTGGTCCAAATTTGTTCATTTCTGTGCGCTCTTTTCAAAGAGGTGGAAGTCTACATAATCAAGTCTTGGATGTCTCTATAACTTTGGTTTAATTTCACTTGTTTTTCTGCCTTTGATTGTGTGTGAAATTGGATATTCTATTTACTAATCACTTGGCTTGGTGGCAACAGAAATTTCACAATACAGTAATTCATAGATTTCTTTTTTTTTTTTTTTATTTTCTATAGAGCAATGCTGATGACTGCTTGTGATTTATCAGCTATAACCAAACCATGGCCAGTTCAGCAACGGGTATATCCTTAATTTTAAGATTTCTTAAATACAAACTCAGTCCTTCAAAATGCTAAGTGTGGATTGAAGATTTTCTCAGGTCTTTGCAGCAAGATCTATGCATTTAGCTATGTCAGACTGTTATTAATTATCTGAAAGTAAATCAGGAATCTCCGTGTTTGTTTTTTTTTCCCCAGCATTTCTGTGTTACTGCAAGGTGGTCAGTTGATACAGCACACTATCTAGTATCAGCTGACCTTTCTCTATGTTTTGATCGTTCTAGCTGTTATCAATGGTAAGGCACTTTGCTTTGTCAGACTACATATCAGCACATGCAGGTGTATCTTTTGTGAACAGATGTATATGTCAATGAATCTAAAAGCTAGAGTTCAAATGGGAGATTCTTATGGATGTTGATCCCAATCTGGTATATCCTAAGGCGGCACAGGAATTTCAGGAAATGGTGTTGATTGTAGGTAGCAAACAAACTTTTATAGCTCTCAATGTCTGAAATCTCTTACAGATTGCTGAACTTGTAGCTACTGAGTTCTTTGATCAGGGAGATAAAGAGCGGAAGGAACTCAACATAGAACCAACAGTGAGTAGAAGAATCATGCAGAATCATCTCTTTTAAAATGGCTTCCATAAACAGCTTTATGGAATCTAAAACATTCCTTTCAAAAGCCAGCTTTTCTTTCCGTGATCAGATTCTAGGACCAACTCCTTCCCTGTCTTCCTAGCAGTCAGTTTTCTTTTGGGGTTACCAGACACCAACACTGTCACTGTTTTGAGCCAGAAGAAAAGACAGCATTATATCTTCTAAATCAGTATTATTAAATTGTCTAGGAAATGTATTCCTAAAGTGGTGCATAATTGCAGCCTATGCTAAATAAGTAAGCTTGTCTATTCCCTAATTTGATCAAGCCCAAAGACAACCTTTAAAGTCTGCTAGTCATGCAGACAAATTACCTGCATTATAACACATGTACCAATACCCTGCTGTGTTGAGATTGCTGCGCTTTCTGAGGTGCTGCCTTTTAATTCTGACCCCTTTGTTTTTGTTTCAACTTTAAATGCATTTAAACATTGAGCTTATTTATTTATTTGCAGGATCTAATGAACAGAGAGAAGAAAAACAAAATTCCAAGCATGCAGGTTGGATTCATTGATGCTGTTTGCTTGCAGCTGTATGAGGTATGGTGCCTGAAAAGAACTGGAAATATCTAAAACCAGAACTGTTCAGTGTAGTTTTCAGTATTTTTAAATTTCTAATTTAAAATTAGAACAAAATTTGGTTTTAGTATCCTATTTTAAAAGATTTTTTTTTTCATATATTCTATATGGTTTGTCATTTAGTTGTAGAAAGGATTATTTTAGCATTAATTGTATGTTTGGCTGATCAATGTATTTTGTTATACCATTTTTTAAAATCAGTGGTAATTGCTGTGTTCTGTGCACTGGGTATTAGGTCCCTGGGTTATGTTTTAGATTCTGCCAGTGAGATGCTGTGATCATTAGGGAAAGGCACAGACACATAATGCTTTGCTATCTACTTAAAGAATGGTATCCACATATTGCATTATGAAGAGTGATGTTTAAGAAAGTTCTATAGCATTCAGAATTCTTAATGCAAAAGGCGATAAAGCTACATATTGGAAATTTACATGGGTTTAAAACTTCCCCTCCTTTTCTTTTCTCTCTTGTGGCACTGAAAAGCAGTGCATGAGAGCATTCATTGAAACTTTTTTCTTTCTGGTCACAAAATGCATACAGAAATACTTGGTCAGATAAAGTATGAAACAAAATATAATAATTCCTGACTTTTTTAAACCGGTAAAGCACCAGGGTGAAAGCCTGTTCACTGAGACTGTGCAAGTATTTTATGGGAACTAAGGTGAGAAAAAGGTGAAGTACAGACAGCCTCACTCTTAGCCTAGTATTCCAATGGGAGAAACAAATCGATCATTCTTTTCCATCTCACATCCCTCTAAAAAGAATCCACGTCCACCAGTTGGAAGAAAACAAAGGTAGTGGAAGAAGGGAACTACTAGCTGCCCTTGAAACTTGCATGTCTCTGCACTGTAAAAACTTTGTCAGGAAAATAAGGCAGCCTTTGCTGAGAAGCTGAAAAGGTAGGCCACTGAAAGAAGTCTGAGTAGCTGTGGAAAATGTATAGAGTATACAAACAGAAATTGTTTGAACAGAAAATCTAAACAGGTTTGAATGTCCACAGCTCCAGGGACTGAACTACTGTACTTTATTTGCTGGGACATCTTTACCTTCTCATTTATGAAAAGACCAGAAAACTTTCAAAAACTTACATGTCTGTAACAGTAGTCCAAATTGAACCCAGCATTTTACAGTTCCCATAAAGAAATGAGGTGTGTGAATAATTTCTAGCTATTTAGCTCCTGTTTTGTAGCTGCAGCTTAGTTATGCTGCAGTGAAGACAAACCAATTCCTGGCTAGCAGCCAAGTGCACCTACATTTTTTTTTGAGTCTTCTCCCTTCTCTTTATCCAGGGAAGAAAGAAGATGCTGTCCCTGTAGGAGGGGCTATAAGCAGCATCTTTCTGTTCAGAATATGTTGCCTCTTACATCTCTCAGAGTATCACTCCTATTTTTCACTCTGTCTCAATCTGACTTGACCTGTAATGGCACATAGCAAGCTAGTAGTGTCTGGGACTTTTATATAGACTCAGAATATGCCAGCACATGTCCTAACCTGAAAGAAAAGTGAGCAAGACTGATGTACATGGGCAGAGAGGATTGAAAAGAACGGGAAGCCTATGAGAAAGTGACAAAACTAGTGACTAATAATTACAAAGAAGGGGCTATGTTGTGCCCTAATGCAATGTACCTAAGTCTAGTACAGGTAGGGGATACCAGGCCCTTACACAGAGTCCTTTTCTTCAATGGTAAAACATATAAACTATGTTACTTTGAAGAACAAGCACACATTTCACTCTTACGTGTTCTAATGCTAAACAGCAAATAATAAGCAGCGTTGTAACTACAGCTTTTTCACTATTCCTTAGCACTGATCCAGCCAGTAGGAACTTAACAGACAATGCAGAGATGAGTGCCCAGTGAAGCACTACATGTATGTGACTTACCATGTTATTCAGAATAGTTCTATTCCCAGTGAACTGATGGTGTGTGGCTTGTTTTAGAGAGATAGCCAGTAGAGTTAAACCGAGTGATCTGAATATCTTCCCTTTAAGTTCAGAAATCTGAAAGAAAAAAAATATTGTATTTTACTTCCAATTTTTAATTGAAAAAAAGTGTTACATTTAGCAGTTTTAATGCTACTTAGATGTGCTCAGATAAATAAAACATGAATACTCAATATTTGACAGCCCCACTCTTCCTAAAGAGGTGTAAATCAAGAATAATTCAGTTAGGCCAATCAGAACTAATGATGCTGCCTAGAAAGCAAAAAAGAATTATGAAGATTTATACAAGCTGATAATTCAGTAGAGTACCTATATAAAATTGTTCCTAAGTTACAGAAGAGTTAGATATCACTACCTCATGTTATTTGAATAAGACATAAGTTCCAGGTGAGATTCTGACTTTTGAAATATATATAATAGCAGCAGTGAGGCCAGGACTTTTCTCTGTGTACTTTGCAGTTGGTCATGGCAGTTCCAGAATCAGTAGGCTCACTCTTGCCCATGGATCTTGCTGTCCAGCACTGTCTGAACTATCAAACTCCCACTTCACACTTCTAAATAGTGTGACTTCATTCCAAACGTCAACAGAATCCTTAATGCAAGTTTCTGTCATTATTGTGTGAGGATACATATACATCACTTCCATCAGGAAAAAAAAAATACAAAGATGCTTATTGATCTGTTTAATTTCCAATTCAGTTTTATTTCAGTCTGCTGTAGTACCGCTGCCACATCATGAAAAACCAGACTTCAGTTACAGCTGTCCTTGAAGAGGCATCAAGTGTCAAATGTAATTTAATTATCAGGTGCTAGTTGTCTTGAATTCAAATATTTCTGGAAGAATTCTGAATCACTTGTGACATTGTCAAATGGGTCACATTGACTATAAGTGCTGATTACCCTTCCAAGGTCATATTTTTGATCAGTGCTGCCATATATATAAAGAACTGGCTTACAGACAAAGTCCATGCATACTACCTCACTAGGAATCCTGGATAGGTCACTTGTGCATAAATCTATGTTGCAAATTCATCTTTTTTTTTTTTTGCATGTATGTATCGTGTATTACCTGGACACTGCTATTCAGTCTAATTGACCATGTATTCATGTCTGATGTGCAACAGGAAGCTTTCTTAAAATCAAAATATAAGTTCAATTTCAAGTATTGATAGACCTTATATGTCAGTCATTTTCATCTCTTTAATATTCATTTTTTAAGAACACTTGTTTTGTTGTTACATATAAACTGTTTTACATGTTTTACAATTTATTTCAGGCCCTAACACATGTATCAGAGGCCTGCTACCCTTTACTGGATGGCTGTAGAAAAAATAGGCAGAAATGGCAATCCTTAGCTGAACAACAAGAGAAGAATCTGATTAATGGAGAAAGCAATCAAGCCAAACGGAACTGAGATGCCGATTTAAAAACCACAAGCTTAAGTTCACATAGAAGACGTAGTAATAGGGAAGTACTGCATTCTACTAAACACTGTATGGATTTGGATTCTGTTTTTGCCACTGCTGTATTAGTTTTCCACATTTCAATATATAGCATGACGGTGTATATGCCAAGACCATATAATTCTTCTATTACATCTAATGAGATGGAAAAAGATCTGCAGTTAGTTTACACTAACCTACTCCATAGAAGGTATGAGTGCAGTTTACTCGAGTGTCCCTGAGAGCCTAATTACTTCATAGATGTATATATAGTTGTTCAGTGATTATGTTGTGGCCAGTATCTTAAAGACTACTGCATTTCGCACCTTTTTGCCTCTTTCAGTCTTGCTGTGTTAGGCTGTAAAAGAAATGCACAGTCTTGCCTGTTATCTTCCCAGAGGTTTAGAAGAAAAACTGGGACTAATGCTGGCAAGCCTGATCCAGCATCTACTATACCAACCTCTTCCAGAAAACAGAACTGGGCTTTGAAGTGGAGAAGCCCCAGAATTTTGTACCCAGTAGCCTTTTCATATTATAAGAATGTCTTAGCAATGTGTTACATTTTAAAAAAACCCTGTGAGTTACGAGGCAATGGGGGGCTTAGGAGTTTCGTGGTACAGGTGTCATAATTACCCACAGATAATGGAAATTGCTTGAAGACTGATGAAATACATCACAACATAGCTGACAGGCTGCGTGCCTTGGAAGAATGACCGCAAGAAGCAGAGAAATTGAAACTAAACAAGATATTTCTGTATGCTCATTTTAACTTCATTTTGAAGTTGAATTTAACATTGTCATAACAAATAAACTGAATCACAGGCGGGAAAGGAGAAGAAATGTGACTGCAAGAGCAAGGGATGAAAATCCAAATCGGAATGATGCAGGAATGGCATGCTTCCAGTAACCATCAGTGGCCGGTGCTATTAATGACCATCAATAGGCCAGTGTTGTTATGAAATGGCTATGACCACTTTGAAGAAAGTATTATGTTAACATATTTTTAAAAATATTTTTAGCACTCGTTAGCGTTAAAAATTATCTATCACTATGTCTTAAAGGAACATGAAAAAAAGAATACCGAAAGCAAAAATAGCCCAGGATGCTACAGGGATTTACTGTTTGTACATAAGGATCAACATTCAGCAAACTAAGAATCAATTAGCTTGCACTAGGAAAAGAAGGCATTGATATTTCATTCAAACAAAGATGATTAATACAAATGATTTTGAACTCATCACTGGGAGCCAATTCACGAAAATATACACATAAAACAGTCAAAAAAATAAAGCAGTACAAGGAGAGTACAGTTTCATTGAGCAGGATTAAAAAATTAATGTCAGCATTCTTAGACTGGTGAGCAGTAATTTCAGTTACACAGAGACAGAAAATATTGATTTATTTTTTTTTTAAATCTTTAGCAATGAGGCGGTAGTTAAAATTAATAAAAGTAATACGTTTGGGATTATACTTTCAAATCCAGGAGTTAGTTTGCATTGCAGTAATCCAGAAAATTCTAGTTGAAAACTGCAATGCATTTAGTCTTCCCAGGAGATTATCAATCCCACCTGCAGTAGCCAGTCAGAAGGACACTGAAAAGGAGCTCTTTTTGTCAGTCTCTGCACTTAGATAACAACATCAGAAGCTAACAAAAAATGAAGAAAGTGTTTCAAAATGTTCCACAGAACTGTTTTTCACGGTCACTTTTTTTTTTTTTTTTTTTTTAATGTAGACTAAGGAATTCTGACAGTTTGCAACCTTTCTGCCAACATCTATCATTTGTTACTGATTAAATCCTATCTCAAATTTCTCTTATGACTACCAGTAATAATTTATTGCAGCTGAATGTGAAAATATTTTTTCTATAAAAGTATTTCGCCTATGAGGTATTTTTTTTTTCCCAGGTTTTTAGAAACAACAACAAAAAAAAGTATGGAATTCAACAATAATTAAGGTTTCTAGAGCTATTTTGAATTTGTATCTACACATGTATATTTATATGCATACATGGCACATATGTATATGTGCAACAGATCATGGCTCTGCACAAAAACTACAGCAGCCTGCTCTTCCCAACCTTCCAGCTCAAAAAAGGAAAAAAACCAAAGCTTTTAGGTACTTTTTGATAAATAGGAATTTTGCTTCATGATTTGCATAGTATTCGTATATTCTTTTCCTTGAATGTCTGAGATACTAAAATGTGTCAACTATAAAGTACATATTTAATATAAATATGAACAAAATGTATGTATATAAAGGTGTATTCTTGTTGGTATGGTTGAGACTAGCAATTCATGGAGACAGCACAACTGTGGTGATATTACAGTGTAGTAACCAATCATTTACATTAAGATTCCAGTAACTATACTTCTCTGCTATATTGTGTGTTCAACAAAACTTTACTATGACATTAACTTATAAATATTAGAAAAGAATGCTGGATTCTTACCTTGGACTTGAAAAAACATGCATGACAATCTGCAGTTCTTCAAAGGTTCACTTAAAATGAACAAAGCTATACAGTATGTGCGTACATGTAATTACATATTTGTACACATTTATCATACCAAATCTCTTCCACTACCAAGATTCAACTACAGAAATATAGTTCCTAGTGATTAAACTATTTAAATGTCACAATATGTCTGTATCTGTATATATTTCTACCAAGAAAAAAAAGCCATTAAACTACTGGTTTAAGAATTTTAAAAGCATATTTTGCTGTTGTTTCATGAAAAATCAGACATCTGTGTGAAGGCAAAGGGAGCCAGTTTTGTTTCATAGCTCTGTGTGTATTGTTTGAAGAAAATTTTTCTTTTATTTCATAATGTAGGTAGATGAAAATATGAGAAAGAAAAAAAATAAAACAGGCTGTTTCTTAAATTCATTGCCTTCCAGAATTCGACATTTTCATACTCAGCCATTCCATACTTTACAGCCATGCTGCTATTAAGTTACATGTATCTAATAATTTTAGTCAGGTCTCAACCATTTACTGCTCTATCTTAAATCGTCTAGCTAAGGAAATCAAGAGGAAGATGCAAGATACAAGCAGAAACTGAGTGCATCACTTTGTCAATTCAGTTTTAGGTCTGTTAAAGCCATTGTGAAATTTGCTATTTAAGTTCCTAGGTACAAAAGTTGTCCCATTAGTTTTTAGTACTTGTCTCAATAGAAACATCTAACACTCGTTCTCAGATATACACATTTTCTTTTGTAGTCACTTCACAGCACAGTTTAATGCCTTAAGTACAGTTCTCTTTCTGGTTTTGTCCCCTTTCTGAAAAAAATAACTTGTCATGCTTGTTAATGTATACAGAATTACTCATTAACCCTAGCTCTTCTATAAAAAACAAGGCTCTTACACTGTAGGTAGTACTTTTCCAAGAAGTTATCCACACACCCAGTATTAGCTGTAGAATATAGGTATGTAGGTTTTCTTTAATCTCAATAAGAAAGGAGAGAAAAGTAATCTTGATTTTGGCAATTGTATTGATTTTTAATTAGTAGCAGTTTAAATCATTCTCAGATGTGCACAGAATGCAAGCACAAGCAGACTAGTGATAAAAGTGAGTAATCTATTCCATCAATGACCAGCTGATCTCTCTTTACAAG